TTCCGACCTTTGACTGCATACATCCCTCACTGATGCTTTCGCTGGACAGCCAAGGAGTCGCTGCGAGATTGCGTGTACCCAAGGCGGGACACTGACACTTTCCGGCTCTTGACAGGTATCGAGGCTACTTCTGCCCAAATTGCTGTCGAAGAGTCACCAGCCCGTGTTCTAAGCCACAGGATGTGCAAGCGTAGGCAGTCGCGCCCGTCTATCCCACACTCGTCGGCATCCACAGCTTCGATAGAGCCCGTGGCTATAACACCTGCTCCGAACGCTCAACGAGACGTCTCGTCGCGCGTACCATGGGAGGTCTTCTGTATGATCATGGTTCAAGTGGATGCCAGAACCATCTTGCGAAGCAGGCGAGTATGTCGTCAATGGCAAACGCGTATTGATCGCGAAGAAATAATCTGGCGAAGCATCGCGGCCCAGTGGGGTCTCATTCCGGAGCCAGGCACGAGAACACCCCTACTTCTGTATGGTAATGGTTACGAAGACGCCGGACTCTCCTCGTCATTCAGTCGATACACGAATCAGTGCCTTACGAGTGCCACAGGCTACTTCAATCGCACCTCCTCGACCAAATCAATATGTGACGATTACAGTCGTTTGACACTTGCATGGAGTCATCGGAGCGTTTTCGATCTCATTGATTCGGTCAAGAGCGACGGTCTCTGCCAGATCGAATCTGGGATGGCGTTTCAAAGCGATGGCATCAATCGTCAATTTGTTCCTACAGGCAGATCTAACATTCTCGATCTGGCTGTAGTCTCGGACACATGCAACATCATTCGCGTCCGCCCGCACCGCGCTATCACAACGACCTATCAGTGGTCAGAAGATGCAAGACGGAGTCGGATCTCGTCCGCGCACATCCCTGTTGTGGACGCTACCGCTTTTGGCTTATATGGTGGCTACGCGGTAGTCTCACGAGAAGGGCCTGGCTCTTCTGTTCAACTGTGGAGAGAAGCGCGCCACACGTACGAGAAGGTTGGCGATCTTGACCTGGCCATACACCTGGAGACACCTTGCTCAATACGCTTGCGATTCCCTACATGCGTTGGAGTCTCGAAGAACCGACAATTTGCGCATGTGCACAGACTCTACAAGTTCACCACCTGGAACGCCCTTACGCGGGAGACCAGGTCGACGCACCGTATCCCCAAAGCGCTTGAGCGCATACTGGATGTAGATTTTGCTGCAGAAAAGGGCATCATTTTCGTTGTGTCCACAAAAGGCAGCTTGGTACTGTCAAATGATGCGGAGATCTTGCTCGATATGATCTGTCACCCTTGGCGATTTATCGACATCGACTTGAGGTCCGCACCTTCTCTTTTGGATGGCTGCGCTCTGCGATCTTCTCAAATCTATGTGGCGACCGCATTCATCGCTGATCAATCTCCAGGGATACGTCACACGCCCGTCACAGTGAGGTGGCGCTCGGCTGAGGAGGCATGCTTCCAACCGGCATATTCAGCCCGCAAGTGAGGCGAGGACTGTGTTGATACCGCTTGGTTGGATCAAGCGAGACCGCTGACAGGGGAGTGCTATGCTATCAATCACACTTCCTTCTCTATGACAGCTCCTTGTTCTCGTATCTGACGCAATACCTTGTAAGTCCAAAAAGGTCTTTTCGTGTATAAAGCTCAAAGGCTGAAGCGGATCTTGAAAGGGGCCCGCCTCTGGTGACGTGCAAGAGCCTCTTGGCGTCTATGTAGATATTGCAACGGACACGCTTGTTCAGCCGTTCTGCTGGGGCTTGATGCTACTTCGGCCTTACTCAGAAGTCAGGCCAGAGGGGAATCATGAACTCTTGCGCATTGGAATACTGCACTACCACATGCCACCACCAGCAAAGTCAAGCTTTGTGAATCACAAGTCTATGAGCATGTCGGACAGTCGAGTGCTTCAAGCCATGACACAAAGTCCGGCAAAGCACCACGACCACACACACCTTTTGATCGTCGATCTGAAAGCGCATCGACTAGATCCAGCTTGGCGACCGGAAAAGCACGTCTTCGAGGACGTCAAGGTGTGGCACTTGGAAAATTCCAGAGGCGGAGAGGTTGAAGGTGATGAGTTGGTCGATACTTGCATTGACGCGACCACGGTATACACCAGTCGCAAGCTCTCGCCAGTGCAGTACATTGACTTTGACTTTGGTGTTGCAGCAAAGAACTGCAAATAGGACATGTTTCTTAGACTGGTCGAGTTCTAGGTCACAAAAATGAAGAAAGCTACACGTACACCTGCCCGGCATCTCACTCAGTTTGTGGAAGCCACAGATTTGCAGATATCAGACTCGGTCCAAATCCAAGAGATCTCTCCTCTCTCCAAAAATGAGTCTCTGGCGTCCAATCCAGATCATACCAAAATCAGACGCAACATGGCAGTGAGAATGGGGCTTATGTGATTTGCCTGCGGCAGCAAAGGCAGACTAACGTCATCTGTGGATGTGATGAAGGGTATGCTCGAGGCACTAATCAATCACTTCCGCAGCCCGATTGGATGAGCTAGCCGAGTCCTGATTGCGCGCCGGCTTAACGAATGCTGAGCAAATTGATTTGCTAAAGCTTCATCATTGCCGATGGAACTGCTGCTTTTGTCTACCGTCCAATCAAGCCGTCACCAATCAACGTGTGCTAGCTGCAATCAGCAATCACGATGCATGCCTAGTGATCGGACCAAGAAGTCTCACCTCTATCGTGAGTGATGTCGAGTCTCAGTTGCGGCAGCGAGGGGTTGTAATATCAGCCAGCATCGTCACACTTGATTGAAGCGGAAGGGACGCAATTTCCATGCACCAGAAGCGGCAATGTCATCCCTGTATTCTGCGAGATTGATCCAATCCAAGATCGGTCCAGCCTCTCAGGGGACTGCTTCAATCACGAGTACACAAGCGCTGTAGCCACCGAGCCCGCGACTGTCTATGGTTCAAAAGAAACTCTTTTCTTTCCACGAGTGCCCTTTGCATCCTCGCATCCTCTCTGTCGAGTTAAGGCGCTGTGTCTTCAACACACATACCATTCTCGACCACTCAGCACCAGACAGTGTCGGTCACGCCGCCTCGCAAGCTCTACGAGACTGTCCACCATCATATCTCCTGCGGTCATCGGCCAAAATGGTCGCCATGGCTCCAGATCCGCTCAGACAGCTTCCCGCGGAGCTTCAGGTCATGGTACTCATCCAGCTAGACCCCAAGACCTTGTTCATCAGCCGTCGAGTGTCTCAACATTGGATGAAGCGCATCAATGCATACGAAGAGGTTTGGCGCGCATTGGCTCTTCAGTGGCGGCTTATACCGCGTTGGACTTCCCCGCTCCCAGGTTCGCAGAGAGCAGGAGGCGGATCTGTCTCTTCTTACCCTAACGAACGTGCATGCGAAGCAGTGCTCAGCGTCACTGGGTATTTCAACAACATTACATCTTTCAGGGACTTGTGTGATCGCTATCTACGTCTAACACTAGCCTGGAAGTCTGCTACTGGTCCATCGATCACCGAGAATGGATCAGACCACCCGCTTGTTATTCGGTCGCAATTTGGCCACCTTAGCAGATGCAAGTCTTCGGAAGAGGCGGAAGAGACATTTTTTTTGCAGTCGACTGAAGGATTCTTTGTCCTGGCAGCAGATTGCAGAACTCTGCAAATGTTCCAACACCGATTCAAAAAGGACTTTGCGGCTCAGGATGACCTGCTGCTTTACAGCACATTGAAGCTGCGTACTGAAGACGCGCAGGCTCACAAATGGTTTGCCGAAGTGGTCATGGATGCAGGCTTTGCAGTAGTCAGCTCGGAGAAGCATGGCGTCTTCTTGTTCAATCTCACGACGACTACGTGTCATTTTGAAGGCGCGTTGCCACTGCCGACAAGATTCCGAGCAACATCTTACATGGGGACGCATCTGCATCTGCGCTATCCATCTTGTCTGGTCTTTACATGGTCAGAGGAGGCAGATACCAGCGTCCACCACATCCACCTCTTTGATGTGCCGACGAAAACTCTGTGCTTCTCTATCAAAGTTCTCGGTTGGTGCTGTGATATGGCGGTGAACGACGAGCGCACTATGATTGCAGCTGTGCACGAGCCTTCCGGCTTGGCTGTGTATTCCACTGCGGATGGCAGCGTTCTACTCAACATGATGCCAAACCTCAACTGGTCCCGTCGGACTGGCACGCGAGCTCGCATGCGTGGGCGCGGAACGACTTTTGGACCTTCAAATGTCCATATAGCTTTCTCGACGAATAGGCCTCGGTCATGCTCCGTGGACACCAGCGCAACAGAAGCCGCAAATTGGCGTACAGTGGAGTCGATATGCTCCAGAACAGGCGAATATGATGGCATGTGAGCGTGCAGAACTGCAAAGAAGCTTAGTCATTGGACCGTCCGTCATGCTGAATCTGTGCGTTCATCTCAGATCCGCCGCCGACTTTATTACCGCATACGTGGTAAGTCAATCTGATCAGAGCAGTCACCAATTACAAAACTTTTGTGTAACTTGACTTACCTAACGCCCTTTGACTTCAAAAGTATTCGGAGTATCTTACCGGTGCGCGAAAGGTCTACATAGACGCCCACACCGACACCCTAATCTTGCTATGCCTTGGGCATGCAATTCTCGTTCGTCCTTGCTCCGCAATTGCAAGACGAGAACTACATCGCGACTTGCAGCTTGGTGTTCTGCCTCTCTCGATGCACATTCGGCAAAGAAAGAAAAGTAAGAAAAATAAGCCGCGTGAACACGTGGCAGACGACGAATTCTTTGCGGCCACACCTCACATACATCCACGAGCCGATCTTCCCTACGCCGCTTCAGATCGCCGCCTTTGTGTGGCTTTCAGCCATTCAAAACTCCATCAAATTTTCATCATCGATCTCGACCTGCACCGCTTGTCCGAGAGCACTCGACAGCACCCGTTTGGCAACGTCGGTTCTCGCTTGCTGATGCAGACTGCGGCGTCTGAAGTGAGCGACATCCAATTGGATGCCTGTGGAGCTTTTCTACTCAGTTCCAGGGGCATGCTGGGTTATGATCTTCGCAGTCTATTGGATGCGGAAGCAAGCCAAGGAACGAATCTCGATGACGACGGCGCTCAACGTATACAAGGCGGTGCTGATGACGCGAGCAAGGACGACGTCTTTGGCTCGTCACTCTGGACGGATAGTGAGGCTGAAGGAGAACCTAGGACTCGTACGCGAAGGATTGCGTGATTGTGCGCGTTTCAAAGCGTCGGCGCAGAGTCGACATACCTGTTAGACAAGAAGATGGCGGTACCTATCAGCAAGAGATACAAAGCGCAGCATGATAGCTTCACGATAGCCCTCCGACGTGCTAAGATGTCGGTAGACTAAGCCCAAAGAATTTGTCGCTTTGTGCACAATTGGAAGTTCATTGTAGAATCAATGAGTTTTGGTGATGTACTGATGTATTGAATGTTCAAAGAATGGGCCTAGAGCTTCGAGGCACAAAGAAGTGATTACTTTGAGGTTTCGTCCTCTCATAGATGATGCAACACCCAGTTCCAGTTGGTGTGGTCTGGGCTCGAAAGTCTAGGAGGTGTAAGTGGCCCGAGATGCAAGGTGTCCGGTGAGCCGCCGTGCATAGACGTCAAGTCGGAATGAAGCGGAGAGCTGTAATGAAGAGCGCGATGGTCGGCGATCAACGGCGAGTCACTGTGCATCTGCTCAAAGGTGGAAAAGGTGCGCTTAGAGCCGCTTTTGAGACTTCCTTCGCGCAGCGGACTCAGAGTGGCGAACGTTGGGCTCAACGAGGGGCTTCGGACAGGCGTGCGGATCGGCGAGTCTGGAACTTGAATGGGCGAAGGTCGTGTGATTGGCGCAGATTTGATCGCATGCTCTTCTGAGACAGACAATGGGTTGTGCTCTGTCCTAGCATCTTGATCGGGCGAGGTAGAAGGTGCCTTAGACGACCTTCGAGAGCTGCCCGGGCCTTTTCTTTCCCTAGGCGCGCCCAAATCTGCCTTCTTCGGCTTCCCTTCTTCGGCGTGCTGTTTTATCTTATCCTGCCAGGCTCTTTTGGTTGCTGCGCGCATACCTTTAGTCGACATGATCATGGCTCTGCTGCGGGGCTCTTCGGGCACGATGACTTGGCCTTGGAGCATTGGCCGGGGATTTGGAAGGGAAATGTCTGGCTTCATGTAGACCTAGTGGGGACATCTCGAGAATGAGGGCAGTCTTCGTCATTGGCCAGATGCAAAGCATACTCACTTTGTGGTGCGAATAAGGCACTCCAATCCCTGTAATGCCCCCTCCAGGAAGAGCACGCCCGTGGTCGTCCCGCGCGGTACCGGTGATATGAATTGCAGGTTCGGTGTTGCTCCTCCCGAACTGGCCTTTCACCTATTCAGGTCCCGTGGTCAGCTTGTCTCGTGTACGATGCTGTACTCCTCTTTTCTCCCTATTCCTCTGTACTCACTACAAAACGACTCATCTTGGGATGAAAATGCGCAGCATAATGCTCTACGCTTTCTTTCATCGCAGCCAGAGTCACGTCACCACTCGGTCGCCCCTTATGACCGTGCCAGCTAACAGACACAGAGGGTCTATCCTCTGGCTCAGTAGGCGTTCGTAGTTGAGAAGCGAGCTGGAGATGATCTATTGGCGGCACCGGACTTGGTTTCTCGACGGCCCACCCTCGAATGCCCCTGTTCATGGCGTATTCTGGATACCTCTTGTAGAAATCCTTTGGCTTTCGGGCTAAGCGACGACCTGGCCCAGCTTTTGAGGAGGCTGAAGTTGAACCCGAGGAAGCCAACGAGGCAGGCGTCTGCTCAGTCTTCTTGGTCGTGCTTGGATTTTGATCTTGCGACGCGTCAGACTCCGTTCTACTGGTATCGGCATCTTTAGCAGCTAGCACGTAATTTCTGAGCGGCTTGGTCGTTTTGTTGGCAGCTTCATCTTTCGTTTGTGGCTTGAACTTCCATTTCTTGGCCTCATCAACGGCTGGATCGCTCCCCGTCGACTCAGAAGAATGGTCGTCCGCCCTTCTTATCAGTTTCTGAAATACATAGACGCGCTCGTAGCTCAGCACATTGACTCCGCTTCTCGAGCTTGCCCACGTCCACAAGACTCGTCAAGCTTCGTACGTACCCGTTGAGCAGTCGGTGTATCGCGCCTGAACAGGAGGGCGCCTCTTCGACGTAGCCGATCATCGTCGGTGCCAAAGGCTTGTTTCTTAGTTGGACTTTGCTCTGGATCCGCACTCGCCGTCGAGCTTTGTCCCCGGCTTTTCTTCTTTGCGCACTCGGGGTCTGCGACAGATGGGCGTACAATCGCCTTCGGACCAGGATCTTCCCAATGAAGCTCTCCTCCACGTGGCAAGCTTATCTTGGTCTGCGGTGCCATGTACAGGCGAGTCTCGTCATAATGATGCTCTATGGAAGTCACGCCTCCGCCGAGAATAGGCTTGTTGTTCTTTTCATACGCTATCCCTATAGCATGCAGCGTCGGCTCCGAATTTGTGCGGGTGAACTTTTGAATGACCTGACAAATAGGGACGAGCAGGGCTTTCAGAAACTCAAGTGCAAGCGCAAATAAACACTACCCAGAGCAACTCACATCAAATGTGGCCATATTGGGTTTGAAATACTTCCTGTGATGTTGCAAGGCTGCCGTGTAGGCCGATGTATCCTTGGGCATTCTCTGATTCGTCCATAGAATTCGAAGTGGCTCATCCGGCACCTTGTGTGCCTTTTGTCCAGATGATACAGAAGCTGATACGTAAGTAGACGTATCACGATAAGGCGGTGGCAGCTTCGCTTCGAGGTGATACGGTGCCTTGTGATCGTACGGAGCCGATGTCTGTTTACTTTGAAAGTCATGCGGCTGCGATACTCTGACGAACGCGTTCCTACCTTTAAGTCTCAAGGGCACTGAGCGGATGGGCGAACCAGCTTGGGCCTTCACCGTCGGTATGCCCTTCTGGTTTGGTAGTTCGATCTGCATATGGTGTGTGGATGCTGCAGCACGCTCGTGCTCTGCTCTGGGCGGGGCTTCTGCAATCGTCGGGCTTGCAGAGTAAGAGGACATCTCGTGAGCAGGCGATGTGTGCTGCGTCTGGTATCGATCTGGCTGCGCGCCTGGGTCGTGCACGGCCCCTCCATGATGCGCCTCGATAGAGCTTTGACCATTCGACTGATGTGCATCAGGTGAATGCTCCACCTCGCTTGGTTTCGTATTGCGCACCGCGTGTCCGGATGAATGATTTGATTCTGGTGATTTGGGTGAGTGGATGTTCGGAAGACCATGCACGTACGGGGTCTGGGCTTTCGAATGGCCATGTAGTAGGCGCGTCACTTCATCGCTGTCCGACGCATGACCATGACCAAGCACCGCACTCCGCATGCTGGAGTATGAAGGGGCAGAGTTGACTGTATTGGCGCTGCTGCTTCTGGTTGAGGCTACGTCAGGCAAGAGGCTCGGCGTCCCATGTGCGGGGAAAGAATTTCTGGCTTGTGGGAATGTCACATCTTCCCAAAGCGCCTGATGTGCGTAGGAATGATTGTCAATGAGCAGAGGACCGGAAACTGAAGAGCTTGTCGGCGAGGCAGCCGGCGTATGGAGCGGAGTATGTTTCGTTTCGAACGTCGAGTGGGGAGAGCTCGAAGAGCCTGGAGAGAAGCGTGGCGAGGCGGAAGCGCGATGAAGGTCTCCATTGTCAGATTGTGGATGTAATTTGCCTGAGCTGGGAGATACGGAAGCGTTGCGTGGGGGATGGCGGACCTTGGGCAGCAGGTGCTCCATGACGTGCTGTTGCAGATACTCTGGAATATCGACGAAAAGATGCTGCTCGGGCGAACCTCTTTTGATGATCGCTGGTCTGAGCTCCGTATAGCTCGAGTGGACCATTTTCGCGTTATTTTGGCGAATTGCATCCTAATGGAGAAATGCAGCGCTTTGAATTGATGAGGGTCTTCGAACGCTGCGAATCGTGACTTACACTTGAGAATGCCTCTCTGGCATGAGGCTCACTGGCGTCGAGTTGACGCTGTGAAAGGCCCAGGTATGATCGAGGGGCCGCAGAAACGCCAGCGCAAAGCGTCGCTGCGCCAAGTAGAATACGTACTAGCTGCATTGTCACTTATGCATAAGCTGGAGCGCCAAGCTCCAGATCCGACGAGTCTGGGTTGATTTGTAGATGTCGCCCCTCGGCCAAGCTTCCGGTCCGACGAGAATGGGTCGAAGTGTAGAGGCGTCTCGTAAAGCTTTGGGATGTAGGCGCGGACCTGCGACGTGCCTGTGCTGGCCAGCAGCGAGGCGATCAACGACATGGAGAATGGGAAGGAAGAAGCGAGCACAGTCCCCAAGTCGTACAGCCTTAAGTGCACTTGTTTAACTCCGCACTGTAGTAATGAAGCACAACTGAGGCCGCTCACAGCCACCCACGAACGCATTTAAAGAGGCGTTCGCCACACCTACGTGGCAGAGGCACGGAAGGCCAACCAAAGCGAATCCAGCCCAGTGGCGTTTTCGCGCGTCAAGGAAAAGTCCTGCGGTGGCGACGAAGCTTTTCCACTTCTGACACATACGCAGGCTTCGCCAAGGTCGATGGCGGAGCTGCGAAGCTGTCGGGAGATAAGGAGGGAGCAAAAGCGTCAATACATCTTCGAGTCGTGTCGTGCGCGTCTGAGCGTATAGACGCGCGCAACTGTAGTCGGCACCGATTTAGGATAGTCGCAGCACCGACTCGAAAAGGGATGAGTCAGATGATGTCGAGACAAGGCTGCGGATTAGCGATAGAGTATGGGTGGTGGGAGCTCATCGACGCCGTTTTGCAGTGTGCCTCAGCTCCAACTGCGAGGAAAACCACAATCGCCACCGTGGCCAAGGAGCGCAGCATCCCATGGCAAACTTCATCTCTCCCTTCTTTCCGATTGGCACCTACCTGCACCGCTGAAGCTCTGCAAGCAGACGCCACCGGTCATCGATTGCTGGCCCGAGTGGCGATCTAGATCCCAAAGGCAATACGACGCCTGCGGCACCGCCACGTAGCGTCTTTCCGTCCGTTGCAGTCTAGATGTCTTTTAAAGATGATTTGCGCCCACACCTTATCTTTACCGGCAAAGGGGCAAGCAGAGCATCAATCGGCGAGCCATTGCTACAAGGTCTGAAATATTCACTCTTGCCTGGCGAATACTGAGCTCCATCTCCCATGCCCTTTGGGGGTCAGTTCAAAACCGATGCCAATGATCATGTATTCGCTGTCGCATGGCCCTTTGTGCACGCTTACCCAACATCATTGACCTGAATGGTTACTAGAGCCAGGTTTCGAGGATCTGTAGGTCGACGAGCGGTGGTCTCGAGAGAAATGGTGACGACGACGACGATGATGCTCTCGTTCCGGTCCCAATCTACAAGAGGACGTCTGCGTTGTGAGCAACGTATGCTTTAGTGGCCCGCCAAAGCAGCTTCCTTTTCGGCCTTGGTGAACATGCGAGGCTGTACGTTGAAAGGGCAATGACCGGATCAGTCTTTCATGTTACTGGAGCGCAGAGTCAAAGACTGGGTTCAAACACCCACAGGGATATTGCGCTCCCTGTTGCGTGTTAGGAGTGCACAGGAGCGGAATGGCGCAAGAAGGCAATGAAGTCAGAGATGGCCATCCTCTCAGAGGATCATGCTGCAAGCCTTGTACGCACCACTTGGTCCCATCTTCTGCCAGGGGAGCTGTAAGAAGCGTATATGCGTAGGATCAGGCACACAGGGGTCAGCTGGGCAGCTCAAGATGACTCATAAGGTCGGACTCTTCAGAGAAGATGCCTATCGGGTGGACATAGCGCCTGCAAGTTGCTGCACAAGACACTGCAATCTGGCAACGTGCGTGTGATACCCCGGCAACGCTGAAAGATAACGACCAGAGATCTCTTCCGCGATTCGTAGGCTAGCATTGGCACCAACTGCCCTGATCCACGAGAATGCCTTCCCACTTACGTTTATATGGATCCGGATGAGCTCTGCTCAACAAGTCCTTCTCCGCCTTTTCGAGCACGCTAGCCAATTCCCTAGGGTTTCTGATATGTCTAGCCCTCTCAAACTCTGCTCTAATTTCGATCGCCCTGTCTCTCCAAATATCCCGTCTAATCACCCAATCCAGCTCGTTCTTGAGGTAGCGACGGTACAGTCCTTGAACGTAGGATTTGTGCGCTGAGGAGAAGGGCTGGGCGGACAGGCTCGAGGAGACTCCGCTGGCTCCGCTCGCTTGATATAATAGCTTGCTCGCGCGAAAGGCCATCTTGACTGACTGCGCATGGCAGGGATGAGAAGTTCAGCGGACGTACGGGGTGAGGGATTGGTTTGGAACTACACCGAACTCTTGCTTCTAGAGAAGACTCACAGCAGCGTTTTTGATCAAATGGTTGTGTGTCCAACCGATGACAGCCGAAGTGATGGTGGATCCGACTCGTGATCTGTGATGGTGTGGCAGCTGCCGTTCATGTGGTGGATGCGTGCGCGTGCGTGCATGCTGCTGGATTTGGCGCAACACGGATGTGCTGAAGCGTGCATCACGAATGATTGCTATACCTAGGTATACCGAGCATGCATGGCTCGGCCGCTGCGCGTCCTCACAGCAGGCTCGCTACGCTCGCTGCTCGCGGCCCGGGCGCACAAGTGCGCCCGCACATGGATAGGGAGAGCGGGCGGGCTACAGCACGCTACCCACGTGGCTTGCCAGGCAGTGCGTGCGCCCGCCTTGTCGTCCATGCACGCGGAACGCGCACCAGCCAGCCAGCCAGGCAGGCAGGCATACACGCCTTTGGCGGTGGGACTTGCTTGACCGCGTCTCGCAACCGCATGCTGTGCCATGAACGTCAAGAAGCTCGACGAGAGGTCCAGCGCCCTGGACCGCATGCTGTGGTCGTCACTGTGACTTACAACTCTACAATTGAAGGCAGGCTCACCTAAGCCGCGAGTCGTGCATGTCTGTCTCGTCAGGAACGCTAGCTGCGATCATCTGCTTGCGAATCCGGCATCCACCACCCTTGAGCGAAATAGAGTCCGCGAGCAGGCGAAAGGCGAAGAGCGAAGAGCTTCAGCGCGGGACACCCGACAGCATTGGCGCAGAGCAACTGCGAGCGAGGTTGCAGTGAGACGAGCATTCACGATTGCCAGTCACAGTCCTGCCTCGAGCTGGTCATCGCTTGCTGGAGGATCACTTCGGGCCACAAAGCAGTTCCATATAGCAACACGCTCCAGCTCGACATTCTCGCCATCCCAACTCTGCAGCCAGCTTGCGGAACTCGATTGCGGCAAAGTATTGCGGTCCTGCTATACACTTCGCGCGAGCGACATTGCCCGGCCCGAGATCGATCCGGCGAAGAGAGCTAGCGAGCCCTGCTGAGCCATACTATCACGATGGCTTCGACATCGGGTCTACAGCGAAGGCGAGGCGGAGGCGGAGTAGGAGGAGGCGCCTCAGCATCAGATGATATTTCAAGAGCCGGACCTTCGCACTCTCGCACAGCTTCTTTCGATTCCTTGCCATCCCGAACCGGTTCTCCCTTGGTGCAGCACAGCAACGGACGTTCTCATCTCGACCATTCCTCTTCCTCCTCTTCAAATCCCACCGAGGGCTCCAACTCGGCAAAAAGTCGGACTGCAGCAGGAGCTGCCAGTATCTCCACAACAAGTCAGAGCGGACATAGAATCGCGTATGATCCCAGAGATTTACAGGATGAGGGCGAGGAGAAGGAGAATCCTAGATTGACGCTGATGGAAGAGTGCCTGTTGCTCGGATTGAAGGACAAGCAGGTGAGTGTGGAACGCCATCTTCAAGCGGAAATCATTCTCCTGAAATGTAGGCGGTAGGCTCGGGAGTGCAAAGACTGTGTGGGTCGTGCTAGAGGATGAGCAGGTCCGACTGGTGAGACCGCCGCAGTGCTTCCACGCTGGGACAAAGCGCTAGCCTGCTGCGCGACTTGGGCTCTACACCACCGCTTACAGTGGAGCATCTTTAATGGCATCTTTGAACCTTCACACAAACTCTGACACTTCTGCTCCCTTTCATACCTCACTGCAGGGCTACTTGTCTTTTTGGAACGACAACATTTCCTACTCCTTGCGTGGCTGCATCCTCATCGAGCTATGTCTTCGCAAGCGAATAAGCATCTCGAGAGACACCTCGGCATCTTCAGGTCGGTTCAGAGGCAACGCTTTGCCTCTGCAAGATAGATTGATTGAGGTCGTGGATGGCAAAATGACGGGAGAAGTCTTGCTAGATGAAACGTTGAAGCTGATGAAGAGTAGCGAGAGGATGAGCGCGAGTCAATGGGTCGACTTGCTCAGCGGTGAGTGTCTGGCAACAGTATTTCATTGCTCGAGTAGGCACTTCATTCTAATGCGGACACCTTTGCGCTGCCGCTGCTGGCCTGGGCCTGGTGATCAGGCGAGACGTGGAATGTGACGAAGATTGGCTATCAGCTCAAGCAGGTGCGGGAACGCTTAGCCAAAGGACTGGTCGACAAGGGCATCTTGCGCACCGAAAAGCGGAACTTTCTACTGTTCGACATGGCGACGCATCCTGTATCCGACAGCAGCGCCAAAGATGCGGTACTCCGTCGAGTGTTGAGCCTCTTGACGAGCAGTACCCCTACGCTTCACGCATCCGCACTGTATCGAGAAGAGAGGAAGAACATTGCCTTTGCAGCTACTAGGAGTTTGTCCCTCTTGTGCTGCTCCTTTAGCGCCAATGTTTTGGAGAATGCGCTCGCACACCTCTCTTACGACGCGAGGGAAGCGGCTTTTCAAAAAGTGGACGATATCCTTTCCGATTTCAGCCAGTGGCCTATGGCGCCTCGTTCTGGCATCGCTGTGGGCAGCGGACCTTCAAATGCGGCTGCTGGAGCGGGCGTGGGACAGAAGACGGGCATTGGAGAGGGCAGTATCAGCAGGAACAATGAAGAGGGCAATCTGGGAGTGAGCACGTTCGAACTTGCCAAAGCGGTTAGAAACGATCTGATCAGTGGAGGTGGAAACGAGGCGCAATTCGAAGCTATTGCGGCCGTGCTGTATGTGCTCAGTAGGATGGACAGCCTGGTGAGTTTCCTCTTGGCTAAATGTTCTCCCGTCCGCATCGCTGCCTTGTGTTGCCTGCCTGCTGAATGCGACCATGCTGCTGTATAGCTATGACACCACAGCTCCCGAATATTTGCCTTTCGCGGGGGGAAGCAGTTGCGGGGGCCTCTTGGCGCGATGGCTCAAAAGATGCTCAGTAGCTCCTCTGATTCGGCTTGCTCGCCGCTGGATCATGACAGAGCCATTGCTGCTCCTACTCCTAGCCAGGCGTGCGGCGCTACCCGCATGGCAGGCGACGACGGAGCACTCGCGAGCCACACAAGCACGAGACTCGCCGCTCTATGAGCACATTGTAAAGCTGCACAGCACGTACTTATCCTGCGATGCCCGCCCGCACAAATGCTACACCATTGCTCGCTCTGGTCCCATGACACATCTCGATGATTTGAATGCAGCATTGTGCGACGGCGCAAGCTGCAAAGCTTGGAAAGGCTTCCAGTAACTTGACGAAGCAGCCAGCCAGCCAGCCCTCGCTCGCTCGCATGACTTCGTACCCTCAACATTTGCTATGCATCTCGAATTTGCATCGTGCGTCATAAATGGCTAAACGTCGCAC